GCCTTCCGATAAGTCAAGTATGAACCAGACTTCGTATTGTGTCCATCAAACAAATTGATGCCAATAAACTTCTCAGAGTTTGGTATCCTGTTTACAGTTTCAAGACAGGATGGACATGTCTGTACTTTCAGTGAAGCTGATTTCTCGAATCTCTATTTAGAAGATCTGGAGCATATGTATCATGAACTGCGAAATCTTACAGTAAGAAGAGAAGGAGCAATTATTGCTCTCGAAGCGATCAAGAGATATCTGAAGAGTCATGTCAAAGTATCGATGGTTCTAGACATTCAAATGGGTCTTGAAGATAACCAGAAGATTATTAATTTGAAAAGACCAGATCAAGAACTTGAAGATATTGAAGGCTATCCTCTTTACATTATTCTTGAAGATCCGGAGTTCGGTGTGATTTATGATGTTGAAGGTCGGATAAAAAAGTTTATGAGATTCAGTGAGCTGAACAAGTACTGTGACGGTACAATAAAGATGGTGCGTTGAGCGCTTGAGAAGATTAGAGCCGATAATGATAAAGCTGAAGAAAAGGAGAGAATGAGTCTGAAGGAAAGGTATCTACTAATCAATGCTTTGAACCTGTTAGACGACAAATTGCAATATCGGAGTGCATTGATAAGAATTGAAATGCTTCTTGGACTAAGAAAGTCAAGGTTTACAATTTCTCGAACTTGAATCCAAAGGGGGAGAATGTTGGGTTCAAGACTGTGCTGACAAGTTGTATTCAAGTTGTTTCTCTCATTTTGTAATAGTTAGTGTTATTGCTTTCTTAGTATAAATAGGTTTTAGAAGCTTAATTGTAATTAGTCTTGCTAATCACTTTTGTAATATTCTCTCAAGAAATATACTTTCAAGCTCGGTGAAATTCTCTCTCTCCTCTCATTGTGTTCTTGAAGATTTATCTGATTTGATTGATAATTTCGATTCTCGGTATTAGTACTGTTTTGTACATATGGATTGTTACAGTAGATAAGCACATAAGGAAAATAATCATATTTTTCCCTTTCCCCTTAACATCCCGAGACCTTGTTGGTACTGCAATGCAATTTTTAAAACACAAAATGAGAGTTAAACCGGAAGGTCTAGTGAGATAACCCTTTCTTTGCAATTACAGGGTGAAGATCACCAAAACTATATTTTAAATCACCTTGTCACATATATATATATATATATATATAGAGAGAGAGAGAGAGAAGCAAAACTCCTCTGGCTCAACTGGTCAATACTCCTCGAGCTCTTAAGGACCAGCGCCCCTTTGGTTACTAAAGACCAAAGCTCCTATGTCTCTAAAAGACGGTTTTATTTAATCAAATTCTCTAGTTAACCAGAGCTTCTGTACTCATACTCCCAAAAATAATCAAGGCTTCCATTTAACCAGAGACCCTCTGGATAATCAGAGTCTCTGGTCCGAATAGACCAGAATAGAAGTTTAAGAAAAAGGATTACTAAAATATAACCAGAGCTCCTTTGATTCTCTACTTTATTTGCAAAGAGATATTTAAAAAGGTTAAGACTTGGAAATTATTATAATAAGTTAAGTTTCAAAGACAGAGCTCGGATACCATACTCAGATACAGAGATTAAACTCCACTCTTGGACACAGAGTTCAGACATAACACTTAAGAATACAATTTTCATGATACAGAGCCTCTGTATACTACATACAGAGCCTCTGGGTCATATAAATCTTGAATACACTTAAAAGACTAATCACATGACCAACTTTATGATATAGAGCCTCTGTATAGCACATACGAAGCCTCTGGATCATATGATTTCTGAAAACACAGGATTACCGCATAACCAGAGGCCCTCTAGTCTGTCCTACAGACCAATCAGAGCGCCTCTGGTCCATAGTACATACTTGAAAAGATTTTTCTCATAAAACTAGAAGCCCTCTTTACAGACCAACCAGAGCTCATCTGGTTCCGATCAAATACTTGTGTCCCTTAATCAATTATGAAACCAAATACTCTTATTTCATTAAAATCATTTGAAATCATCGGCAAATAATGCCTCTGGCTATAAGCCGTTTTCCCCTTCTCAATAACATCAATGTTATTATTTCAATAAGAGCTATTATCTCTTATTGATATAGTAACAAGAGTTATCCAAATGTCACCCTTATCTAGATGTACACCTCTTCTTGATATGCCACCCTTATTTCCTCCCCAAATCTATAGATGAATCTGTAGTTTTAGCCAATAACGGCCTCAAAATGATTTCATACCGGAACAGACCGAAGTCACAACTGTCCTGTAAAAACGTTGAAAACTCATTTAGTTTCATACCAGAATAGACACAATTGTCTCGTAGAAACATTAAAAACTCGTTTCTTTCAAAACAAACCTCATGTCACAACCGTCTTGAAAGGAAATCCAAATAGTATCTTTTCCAGATTTTTAACCTCATTTGAAAGATACAAATATACTCTTTTTAATCACAAATGGTTTTGAACACACTTTCATCAGACAATACCGTCTGAAAACCATTCTTACCGAATAAACCTTTAATCAACAATAAATCTTCATCAAACAACACTGCCTGATTACAAGGTTCTCTTCAACCTTTAAATTTCCAGAAACTAAACACATGTTGACTGCACATCTATACCAGCAGTTCCACAAAACATATAATCTTAATAAATTTAAAGATTGTTCTTTTAAAACAAAACTCACCATGTAAATGATTAAAAACAGCAACAAAAAGTACTTTAATCTTGGAATCCAAACTTCTAGCTTCTGAATTTTTAGAAGACTAACATACACTTTTTCTCACTGTTTTCTTTCCCAAATTTGAAGATAACTCTCTTCAAAAGGCATCCCCTTTTTTATATTGCCAAAGAGGCGGTTTGGAGAAATATATATATGTATAGCTTCTTCTTATCCCTTCTAACTTCAGGCCAGATTAGACTTACGTTACACACGTCCTGGAGAAGCATTTCTTAAATCATTATTTCTTTCAAAACAAACTTATGTCACACGTCTTGAAAGAAAATATCAATATCTTTTCCCAGTTCACAATTCTTATTTAAAAGATACAAAAATGCCCTTTTTGCATTACATAATAGTTTATAACTGATTAAATAATATTAATGAAATACCATCATTAGATAACACAAGTTATGGGCCAATTCCTCTTCATCGGTCAACTCTTATCCGAACATCATTATCAGGACAACTCTTAACCGGACACACCTTTATCGGACACCAGGTATCCGGACATACCCTTATCGGACACCAAGTGTCCGGACACAATTGTTCACCGGTCAAAACATGAGTTTTAAGTATCAAATCTATATATAAACAATGAGCGATGAGTAATCTTAATCAACCAGAACATAACCGGTGAAGAATCCTTATCGGACAAAGCTATGTCCGATAAGAAACCTCATCGGTCAACACTTACAGTCATCAAATTCTTCACCGGCCAAGGCATTGCCGATGAGGAGCTCTGATCGGACAGTACTTGATATACGATCATTAAGAATCACATCTCAAAAGTATGAAAGGCATTGGATAAAATTGAAGTGTGAAATAGGTTTACGCCTACTCTTTCGAATATTTTAATATTTTTAGTTATCCAATTGTTAAGTTATATTTGTCTTTGAGAAATATGATCGTGGGCTTATAAAACGACTTATTAGAGGAGAGAGCTTTTCAAAACAAATTAAATAGATGAGACAAATTATTTATGTTGTTAAAAATATAATTATTATACAAATTTTTTGGAATGGTTTTTTGGTATTGGAGGAGGTTAATGAACATAAGTTTTTGTTGGAAAAGATTCATCGATTTTTCATTAAATCTTATATGAATTAATATGAATAAAGCAAACTATGTAGATTAATCTGTCTGGTTGTAATTTATCCTTCAATCCCAAAATGTATACTTGTTTGGGAGGCAATCATTCATACCGTTCAAGAATCTTCCTCTAGTCTTGCATCGGTTACTTTTCATATCATTGAAGCAACTATACTCGCTCGTTCACCTGTCTGCCTCTCAACCCCTTTGCAGTAGGGGGCGAAAGATTAGACCTTAGAAAGTTAGTCGGACTAGTGGGGGTTCTATGCAGGTGAGGCATAGGTCGGTCCTAGAAACGGTGACAGCGGAGCAAGGAGTGAACGGTGACAGCGGAGCAAGGAGTGAACGACGACCACTTGGAGCTCCGTTTTTTTATCTATTGAAGAAAATGGCTTCTTTGGCGACCGTGAAGTCACCAGATAAATTGCCGAGTAGATAGATCAGATCCGGACATGGTTGTTGCTCCGCAGTGGAATGACTGTTTTTTTTAATTAGGATGCACGTTTGAGAAAAATTTGGCTTTCTACATAAAGCCTCCCTAGAAACATATAAAATAAACCACTTTATATATCATTAAGCCACTACCAAACAGTCATACATAGTTGATCGAATAAGCCATGAGTCCCACTAAACTATTAACAAACATGCCCTAAGTAATAACGTCGTGAACCCAATTCATAAGAAAGAAGAAACAAGCTAAAGATTACATTGTTATATAAAAAATGTTTAACTATCCTAATAGACATAGACTGTTTTATAGAAATTAAATTTATAGGATCAAACTCTTGTGCATCCCATGTAAAAGTGTTGCAATAAGTTTATAAAACATTTTTAGACGTCATAACAATTTGTTTACCACAAATTTGCAATAAAACACCAATTATTTTTTATATAGTATTCTTTGAAAAAGTGTTGGTATAAAAACAAGTGTCTTATAAAAAGATGCGTTCACAATACACTTATCAAAGTGTCCTATAAAAAAAATCTAACGAGACTATATTTGAAAAGGTCCTAAAACCTTGTAAAATTATCGAAAACTGTCTTTAAAATTTTTTGTAACATTTTCATATAAGACGCACAATTGTTGGTCCTGTAAACTCTTACACGTTCTTAGCCTTGTATAAACCTGATTTTGTCGTAGTGACAACAATAAACTTACGTGAGTTAAATATTGGTTACTTACGCCTCTGCTATGCAATGAATATGTGATAACAAAAGCTTCAAATGTCACAGTTAACTACATTTCATAGTTCCTACACAAGCTATGTAATTCAACTTCATAAATTTCTAGCAGCTACTTTCCAATATATATATATATATATATATATATATATATATACTCACCTTAATTCTGCAAGAAACGCTTTCCAGCTTCAGTTATGCCTGCCTGCCTGCCTGTAGACAAAGTTAAATTTGCTTTTAACTAGTCCACAAGGTCTATGCAAAGTAAAGGGGGGGATTAGGGGGCTTTTGGTTCAATGGACTGTTTTTGAGTGGTTTGCAGGATTTGAAATGGAATCGAATTCCATTCTTTATAGATAATTTATAAAAACCAATTAAATTACCTTTTATTAATCGATTATTACGAAACAAATGTTTTTAACATATTTAAAACTTTATTACTATGAAATACCAACTGCCCCCATGGATTTCTAAATCTCATGTTTGTGGGATTTCATAGATATCCCTAGATTTTAATTCCGTGCTTTCCTTTAAGCCAAACTGGCCCTTAGTTTTAGCATACTCCATCCTTGAAAGAACAGGGAAAAAAAATACTTGTGCAAAAAGATGAATAAGTAAATTGACTGCTTTTTTAGAGATGGTAATATGCATGTAGTAGCTCTAGCTTCCAGAAACAGTTTCAAATAGCAAGTAATACAAGGTTTTGGAATATACAACATATATAAGCATTTTGAGCTTGAAAAATGCAATAAACCCATTGTGACACCATCTATTTATATTTGCACCTTTCCCTTCTAAACTAGATCTAAGATGAAGGGAATTTTCCGTAAACAGGTGAAGCATTTGGCATATAACTACTCCTTTGTTCCCATCAAAATTGCACACAAAGTGATTGACTATTTGTCAACTACCTAAAGTACCCTTTTAGTAAAAAAGATCAAGTACCCTAAAGCATGTTGAGTTACAAAATAAGAACATATTTTCCAAAGAGCTTAGATGGGAAAACAATGAAGTGTTCTCTCATAAAAAGTAAAAGTAAAAGTAAAAGTAAGAAGATGAGATTTGTGGTACCTGGGTACCAAGAGCATCAATACACTGCGGCCGATGTCATGATTAGGGACTTAGTAAGCATTAGTTACACCAGAAAGGGCTTGTTGATATGGCAGTAGGAAGCGATGGCCTTAGACTCCAAACCTGCAAGGTCATAATGGGAAACAAATTTGAAAAAACAAATGAGAATTCTAATAATACTAGTCTTACGAAGGAAGCGACCAAATGTAGTGTATAGACAATAGATGTTATCCTCTGAGCCATGGATTACATCAAAATCCTAGCTCATCAAGAAAAGTTGCCATATCTCTATCATGTCATATATTTCTTTTAAAGTCTCCAATCTCTTCGAAGATCATCCTAAGCTTCTGGTTCAACTACACCTCCATTTCTGATCAGCAGGGTATACACTAGACAACATCAACATCTCTGACACCTTATAAGCTATTTCCAAAGTTTTACAGTACGGAATCGTGAGGCGAGGCGTTTTCCCTCCACGAGGCGAGGCATAAGTCTCGAGGCGGAAAATAAAAATAAATAAAATAATATTATATATGTAATACTTGGCTGATAATAATGTTTTAGAATCATAATGTTGCTAATAAAGTCTATAAATACTTTAATTTAGGTAATTAATTGTTAAAGATTTTTATAAATACTTTAATTTAGGTAATTAATTGTTAAAGATTTTTATTTTTTAATAAAAACAAATTAGATAAACAATAAAAGTCTCCCACATATAGAGAAACAATAAAAGTGGCACAAATGTCAAGAGAAGAAGAAAAAGTCGCTTCTTTTGTGTAAAATCGAAGAGTCCTTATGCACCTCCCAAGTCGCATCCCTAGTACGTAGTTATACTGTATAAAAACAAAAGAATCACACATAACAGTAAGTATTCTTTTTCAGTGGCCATGCAGTAGGACAATGCAAGGAGCAGGGGTTTCACTTCAATGGGTCATAATCAGTAAGTATATTTTCTTTGATTTGACATATTCTTTAACCCTAAAGTCTTAGGGGGTGTTTGGTTTAGTCGGAGGAATAAAAATGGGAATGAAAATGAAAATGACAAGGAATGAAAATAGGAATGAATTTCCATCCCCCCTGCTTAACTTGGAATCAAAATTTGGGCTTTTGGTGGAATAAGCCCATTATACTATATAAAACCAAAAAATTTCTTTTATTTTCATCCCCGTTGATTATTGTCTAATACCTCTAACCAAACACCCCCTTAGTACCGCCTCAGCCCTGCCTCACCGCCTCTACTGCCTCAAACCCGCCTCACTAGTTCAAGGCATACGACCCAACCAACCTGGCAGAGGCGCCGTCTCAAGAACGTTTCTTGACCGCCTCGCCTCAAGGCATGCGCCTTGGCCGTTTTTAGCAAACCATGGCTATGGAATATATTGTTTATGCGCTCATCCATACTAGCACTAATATCTAATATCCGATTCTAAAAAAGATACAGCCTACATTTCCCTTTCAGCCAAATTATCAGATATTCCCAAGAAAGCTACAAAAACACTTGGAAATTCAGGTGTCTATAACTGAAACTTGGGTACTGGAAAATGATAGGTTGCAAATGGGTGTTTATTATGAAGTTTCAGTAAAATAGTTATGATGAGACCTTATCCCAGTAGCCAAAAATGATTCGGCCATGATACTTATTGCTCTTGCTGCTAAACGCTAATCACTAATAACATCATAAAAATTGTAGACATCTTATCTGAATGTTAAATGGTATTGTCAGGATGAAACTTCATTTTGTATTACGTCATTTAACCACCATTTGTCATTCTACTCATTCCAATGTGAATCTAATCTAATGAAATTGACATCTGTAGAAATTGACATCTTTCATGATCATGCTAGAACACCATTGGCATGGATAGGTAATAGTTGTAATCCATCTAACTTTATTCAGATTAATTTATATATGGTTACTTATTCTTAAATTGACACAAACTTTCCACTCAGTGACTCGCCATTTCGGTCAATAACCCATTCGGACAAATACCACATCCTTGGAAATTATTTGTTGCCAATTCATCATCAAATCGGCAAGAGAAAATGCAGCTCAGTAAGGCTAATGGCTTTCACAAATGCATACTATGGCATTAGTTCAAATTTGACATTAGAACCTTAGTATCTTGTTGTTATAACCGGGTTTCTGACAACCTGGGTTGAGGTAAACTTATACGTGGTTATTATGTGAATTACATGATGACATGCTGATTATTTAATTAAAATACATGAGTAGTATACATATATGTGAAAAGATGTTGTTGTGCATACATGAATTAGGTGTGTGCATATATGGTGTAAAGCATACGTGGATTATATTATTTAAAAATATGAAGATGTGGTATCTTCATAGTAAAGAAAGGTGGTTTTATAATAATAAAACCCACCACCGCCCAAACAATTGTATAATGATAAAATTCTGTCACCGCCTTTGTGAAAATATTTAAAGAGAGAAAAAGAGAAGATTTTATCTTATCATTTTACTTGGGAAAGAAACTTTTAGAGAGAAAAAGGTGTTTGAGGCGGTAAGAGTATTTTTGAAGAAATTTGTTGCTCAAAAGTGTTTGAAGATTCTGTGTTATTTATAGATTTGCTGTGCGTGTTTAATCTGCAGAATCTGTGTTTGATAAGGCGAGTTTTGATAACTAAAAACCTGTATATATTGTTATATAAACTGCTAGTTTTGGTGTTCGATTTTGAAGAAAGGATAGTAAAACTGTTTTTTTAAACAGTTTAAGATGAGTCTTGTGAATGGGTTTTCGGAAACTGTTTTGGAAAGATAAAGAAGAGATTGCTTCTTTAAAGCAGTTTTGGAAATGATATCCTATTTTGAGGATTTAAAGGAGTTACGATGTTTTGGAAATTATTGAAAGAATAGATTGTTCTTGAATTTGAAAGTTTTGATGATAAAACTATTTTGAAACCATTATTGGTTGAAAACTATATGGGTTATCTCATCAAGACGGTTGTG